TTGGGTCTAATTGAACGGAGGAATTATGGTATTCTTCTGTAGCCTAACATTGGTTAGTTCTGTTTGTCAAGCTATGATTCTCACTGGTGACATTAATATTGATGTGGATAATTTAACTTGCTATCATACTGTAACAAAGGTCACTTACTTGATTTGGTGTGTTCTGTTGGTGTTGATATCAACTAGCTTGAGAGCTATAAGATATGTATTAGTGACCACAAGCTTCTTACTTTTAATTTACTTGTCTCAAAACAGAGTAATGATTTTTTTCAAAAGAGAGTAATTAGTTTTAGAAATGTTAAGAATATTGATTTTGATCATTTTTCATGTCTGATTTTAAAGCATCCACCAAGTAATACCGGTGACCATTACACTTCCATTTTATCATCTACCTTGGATATCCTTGCTCCTAGGAAGGAACGTGTTGTCTCATTCATGAAATCATCCCATTGGTATACAAATGAGCTTAGGGCACTCAAAGTTAGAAATAGGCAACTTGAGCGGTCATACAAATACAAATCAGGCTTAACTGTCCATAAGCTCATCTATGATGAACACTTAGTACAGCGAAGCCATTAAGGTGGCAAGAGCTGAATACTATTCACACATTATAAGTGATGGTGCTGCAAATCCAAACAAGATTTTTAAGACTATTAACAAAATTCTAAAACCAAATTAAAGCTGCAAGCAGAGTTGAAAGTGTCCTCGCACCCTTAGCCACCTCGACCCAGTGGCCTTAGGAAAACAGTCACTATGATTATAACTGAATATTGGCCTTTAGATGTCTTCAGGCCAGGGCTCTTATTAAAGAAAAAAATTAGGGGAGATTGGACATTGCATGTTTTATTTCATGTAAAACAAGTAATTTCCTGTTGCCAGCAAGTGGCGCAATGATTATAACGGAATATTGGCCTTAAGATGTGTTCAGGCCAGGACTCTTATCAAACGTGTGAAGTTTGGGGCAGATCAGACATTGTATGTTTGAGTTACAACAACTTCCTTTTCCATGGCGAAAAATCAAACTTTGTGAGGCTGCCACGGACACACCCTTTAACGAAAACTCTAGAATCTAGATCTTCACAATTTAACATCGCAGAGGCCTATAGTACGGTGGCCGAGAAGTGCTAAACAAATCACAATTCTGAAAACAAAATAACAAATTACAAAAGCAAATGCAAATCTATAAAACAATATAACAATTCCGAAAACATAATAAAATGTCGGAAAGCACAACAACAAATTCTAAAACAAAACAACAAGACAGAAAACACTACAACAAATCCAAAAACAAAATAACAAGTCAGAAAACACAATGACAATTCAGTCAAACCAGAAAAGGTAGGGATAGTTTCAGAATGGATTGCTTACCGCTGATTGGATGAGACATCTGTCAATCAAGGTGTGCAGGAAGTAATTGTGACCAACTTTGATTTGCGTACATGGCTAAATGCAGTTTTTGCAATAGTGAAACTTTTTAATTGGCAATGGAGAAAACTGAATTAATTCAACACTACTTTGAGGAAGGACATTCGAATGCCTTGATTGTGGACATGCTGGAAGTGCTAAACAAATCACAATTCTGAAAACAAAATAACAAATTACAAAAAGCAAATGCAAATCTATAAAACAATATAACAATTCCGAAAACACAACAATTCCGAAAACATTATAAAATGTCGGAAAGCACAACAACAAATTCTAAAACAAAACAACAAGACAGAAAACACTACAACAAATCCAAAAACAAAATAACAAGTCAGAAAACACAATGACAATTCAGTCAAACCAGAAAAGGTAGGGATAGTTTCAGAATGGATTGCTTACCGCTGATTGGATGAGACATCTGTCAATCAAGGTGTGCAGGAAGTAATTGTAACCAACTTTGATTTGCGTACATGGCTAAATGCAGTTTTTGCAATAGTGAAACTTTTTAATTGGCAATGGAGAAAACTGAATTAATTCAACACTACTTTGAGGAAGGACATTCGAATGCCTTGATTGTGGACATGCTGTTTACATACCATGGCATAAAGATCAGCCTGCGCTCTCTAAAAACACACCTGAAGGATGCAGGTATGTTTAGAAGAAAAAACTATTCACCACTGAATGATGTAAGAAATGCAATAAGAGCAGAGCTGTGTGGACCAGGACAGTTGTTTGTCAATGTGGTTAGCACTTGTGCAGAAACACAGATTGTGTGTTAAACGTGATGATGCAATGCGGTTGCTGCAAGAACTTAATCCACAAGGGACAGAACAGAGGACACGTTGTAGATTTGTTCGACGCACGTATCACTCCATGGGACCAAACTATCTGTGGCATGTGGACGGTTATGACAAACTAAAGCCATTTGGTTTCGGCATATCAGGATGCATTGATGGTTTCTCGAGATGTATCCTCTGGCTTACTTGTGGGTCTACTAACGCTACCGGTCAATGTGGTTAGCACTTGTGCAGAAACACAGATTGTGTGTTAAACGTGATGATGTAATGCGATTGCTGCAAGAACTTAATCCACAAGGGACAGAACAGAGGACACGCCGTAGATTTGTTCGACGCACGTATCACTCCATGGGACCAAACTATCTGTGGCATGTGGACGGTTATGACAAACTAAAGCCATTTGGTTTCGGCATATCAGGATGCATTGATGGTTTCTCGAGACGTATCCTCTGGCTTACTTGTGGGTCTACTAACAATGACCTTGCTGTTATTGCACACAACTTCATCACTTGTGTTCAACGCCTTGGTGTTGTACCTATGAGACTACGAACTGACTGTGGAACGGAAAATGGTACATTAGCAGCAATACAGTGCACTCTCCGTCATCACCATTAAGACTACTATGCTGGCTCAAGAAGTCACATGTATGGTACATCAACGAGCAATCAACGCATCGAATCTTGGTGGTCCAGCTTCAGAAAAGCAAAGTTCGTGTTTGTTTCATATTATTTAGTATTGATGAAATGTCAGTAAAGTGATGCTTTAGTTACACTAATGCAACTAGTTCAAAGTAATATATATTTAAAAATTAATATATATGTAGCAATAACATGCAAAATGATTAAAATCAATTTATTTCATTCTGTTATTGATGTATCTGGACTTTTGTATTCAAGGGCTCAGTTTTGGATAGAACTCTTTGGGGACCTGAGGAATGAAGGACACTTCAATGGCAGTAACGAACACCAATGCCTTCTTCAGTTCTGCTTCCAAAATATTCTGCAGGCAGACTTGGATGATTGTGTAGATCTTTGGAATAAACACAGGATCAGACCCTCTAGACTTGCAATGTGCCCTGGGGGTGTACCAAATGAACTGTATCATCTACCACACAGGTGAGCAAATAAAAAATCTGTGCCAAAATGTAATTTTATAACAGATTTAATTATAAGCATGTTTAATATACACTACTACAAAAAAATTACATTGTATAAATGTGTCTGCTGAATACATTTACATAGAAATGTATCTTCTTGCAGGTATGGATCAAGAGACTGTGGCTTTGCAGTTGAAGAAGAGGAGTTAAGTGCTTTTCCTGAGTCAAGGCTGACAATGCAGTTATGTGGAGACAAAAACATCCAGGAATATCTAGAATTTGCAATGGAACACAATCAGTTACAGTGGCCAGATAATTGGGAGGAGGCACTGCAACTCTATTTCACAATGAAGGAAACAACAGGCCTCTGATCACGAGTATTCAAAAAATTACAGTAGAAACTACAGAGTGCAACCTCAGAAGAACTTATTTAAAAAGGAAACAACGCAATACACAGATTGTAACTTTGTGACATTGCAAGACATATGAACTGAGAATACGGAGGATGTAAAGTTTACTTAAATACATCCAAAACCTGGTGAATTCTGGATTCCAAAATCCATTTGAGTCTGAAAAAGACTGTATGTCTCTAAGATTGGTAACTTGAGTGTGTTTGTGCATGTATTTGCCGTTGGGAAGAGTGAATTGTCAAGAAAAACAATCCATGGTTGTGGTGCTACTCCAGCAGGTGGAAGTGATGTTAGGCCAGTAGCAAACATCAGCACATTCTCCAATGGCACTTCAGTCTGGTGTTCTACAAAGACAAAAAATACTATATTGATAATTAAATAATAAACCCCAAAAATGACTTTCCTGAACAGAACCCAAATTGTTTGCACTTATCCATACAATGACAGTGGATGTACTACCTTTCAAACTTCAAAAAGAGCTCATATTTATTATCAGTTTATTACATTACAACGTGTATTATATTTTTGAGAGACTATTCGTAATTTAATTTATTTTCCCACTTGCATGGAATAATTTGTCCTATTTTAACCTTATAAGTTAGTTACAATCCACTGCCATTGTATGAGAAGAACTCTATTCTGTTTTACAGAAAAAAAGAAAGCAATACATGTTTAGAACAACTTGAGAGTGAATAAACTGCATTTTTGGGTGAACTATTGCTTTAAAGATGACTGAACTTTACCTAAAACAGAACATGTGTTTGTTCAATTCCAAATAACATACCTTCACAGTCGAGGAGATAGTCTGACCAAAAGGAAAGCGTCCTGGATTCCTTTTGCCTCTGGTTACTACCAACTGGGCTGAGTTCTGCTTTGAAGAGGTTTTCCAAATCAGTCGCTGTCAGCTTCTTCTCAGTGTGGCAAAGGAAAGGAGACAAAACACTGGGATGCTGCTCAAGTGCTGTCAGAAACTGCAGAGTGGCAAGTCCATCCTTAAATCTATTAAAAGTCAGTTTAAGTAACAGTGTAAAAGACTGATGCAATTTTAGGTATATCTTAAAATAAGCATTTGCCTATGAAGTAATGTGTGTGATTTAAAAAAAAAAGTACCTTTTAATAACACTGTGGTTTCTGTCAATCACATACCACCTGACACATTCTTCCAAAATTGAATGTTTCTCCTCAATGTTCTTCACATTATCGGTTGTGGGAAGTCAAGACCATCATCATCAGATCATCATCCTCTTCCGCAATCACAGGCACATACACTTCCATGTATTCTCTACAAATAAGAAGAGATAATCATCATGCACAAATGTAACAATTTGCAAATTTCATGATACAAGTACATACATAAAATATTTAACAAACCAAACAAACCTGTAACACCGGTTCTGTGACGCAACATGGTCAGAAGTACC